GCACACCTCTCTATAGAAGGCCTCACAGCTGGCAATGCATACTGTATCAGAGCAAAAGTCATGAGGTCAAAGGAACTGCCTGCAGAGCTCAGAGACAGGATTATTGCAAGGCACAGATCTGGGGAAGGCTGCAAAAAAAATTCTGCTGCACTGAAGGCTCTCAAGAGCACAGTGGCCTCCATAATTCTCAAATGGAAGAAGTTTGGCACAACCCGGACTCTGGTTTTTTATTTATTTATTCTTTATCTTTAGCAAGAAGCAGGAAGCTCATCTGATAAACCTGTACTTTTTTTTTTTTTTAAAGGTTGACAAGGAAGGAAATACATGTAAAATACACTAGAATGGGATCTGGATCAGAAAAGTAATTTAGTTTTTTTTTTAGCCATGTGCCAATCTTGTTGACAAAAGCTATTAAAAACATCAAATGACAGAAGTTATTTGTTTCTTAGAGTATAACTTCAGCTCCTGCTTTTTCTTCCTTGAAAGACAGAAAGACAGAAAGACAGACAGATCTTCAATGAAGTTCTAAGAATTTTAAATAGACTGCCTGCTTGCTTAGAAATAGAAAGGTCAGGAGTGCAAACAGCTCCTGTCTTGAGCTTTGACGGGCACAGCTGTGTTCTAAGAAGAATGAATGACTGGCATAATGAAAGAAAAGGAATGCCTGCAGTTTGAGAATGTAACATGGTGTCCAGTTGTTAATACTAGCATAATACACTTAATAAACTAGGCTTGGTATCCTCATCTACAGAATACACTTTCATGATGATATTTCATTTGTAAAGGCAAACAATTTGTGATGATGGTCATTTTCCTACTAGCAACGTGTAACTTCTAGAGACATCCAACCATTGGTGTGACAAAATAATAGTAATGAAGACCTCATCTTCAAGAACGCCTGGGTGATGCTATGAAAATGCTATTAGTCACTAATGGGCAAATGGCCTATACATCCCTATTAAGCAGTCTCATATACTGAAACTGAAATCATAACAGCAAACAAGCTGAAATTGAAATAACAGTAGCAAACAATAATAGTGTTACAACCTTGCTTTCAAGTAACAACTATAATACTTAAAAAGAAATTTTGCTCATATGCCTTGTTTGAAGGAAACTGAGTAACTGGAACACAATTCACTTAGAATAAAGAATGAAGGAGGGAGAAACATGAATGAATTAGCAGCCCAGAGTGAGTCAGAGGAAATTCATTGGAAAATTCAGGTTTAAGTAAATACAGAAGAGTAAGAGAACATTTTAAATCTACCTGTAAATCTAAAAAAGAAAAGTGAGGGTGCAGATTAAATATTATTAAATATGCTGCATCAAGAAATATCCACATAGACTTGTGTGATAGAGATGAAGATACCATTTGAGATTGAATTATACTGGCTATCTTTGAATATAACCTCTAATCAAGCTCCCCCTTCCTTGTCCTCCTTCTATACAGCAATGAAATTCAAAGCTTTCATTTTTTTTTTTAGATAACTGCAATTTATACTCTAAATTACATTTCTAAACTATGGTTAATGTTACTTATGATTTACTAAAAACATCTTCCATGAATGACATTTTTAAATATGTTTTCCCTGATAAAGACTAACAATAATTTGTTCAGATACAATACCAAACGAAGCAAGAACTCAAGAACTTTAATCTTCTCCCAGTTGTTCCTGAGATATGAGAGTGGAGTGTACAAAACTGATGTCTATTTATCTAATAATAAAATGTAGTTCTTTATTCCTCCAAACCTAGCATTATTCTTATGTCAATTTAGGTACTGATTTGGTAAGTAATTTCTAGGTTTAATGCAGTAACTTGGTAGGATATTCCTGAGTTTTAATTCTAATGAAAATGAAGCTTATCTACAGTAATTGTAAGAAATTACCAGAACAATCTGAATCTTGGCATGCATCATTTATTCATTCAATGATTTTTCTGATCTTTGAAATGTGGCTGCAATTTTCCATGAATTTGTGTAACAAAATTTATTTTATGAGTAATTCAGGCAAAATAAAATACAGTGGTACCTCGGGTCACAAACGCTTCTGTTCACGACCAATTCGGGTCATGAACAGCACCGTTCGCAA